GCCAAACCAATCTTGTCGGCCAAGATCTGCCCGGGCTTCTAGCAGCAACGATATGCATTTCCAATTGCCAGCCCATGCTGCAGTGTGTAGTGCTGTCCAGCCAAAATCACGTGTGACGTCTGGCGCTAGTGGTTTCTGTAGCAGCCTTTCCACTTCCTCAGCAATTCGTGGCACACGCCATAAGGAGCTTCTTGTTGCACTCGTGGGATTGCTCGAAATCCACGACAAGGAGCTGCACCGTTGAAGGAAGGACCTCCTGGTAGAGGAGACCACAAACCGAACAAAACGAAATGACTTCCCACGAGCGCAGGAAAACATCCGAACCCAACAGAAAATACAGATCACAGCTCGCCTTTCATCCACAAAAAAAGCCCTTGAATTCAACAATGGCTTGCGTTGAGATAAAATGTATTGGGGTCACTACAACCCATTTCTATAGTATTTGTCATGCTGGTTTACTACCCCTGTCATCTCTAGCATTTGCCGTTTCTAGCATTTGTCATTTGCTACCCCTGTGGTTTGTCTTGCTGGTCATCCACATGGACATGCAACATGGACCTCGCACAGGACCCATCTTCCTCTACAATCTCTGCAACTGCAGCATGGATAATGTGAATGACAACAAGGGTAGGTTTTGAGACCTCTCCTGGTCGTCCAACAGACGTCCAAGATCTTCTGCAAAGCACCTTTGCTGGAACCTTGTAAATCCAATCCTCAGTGGCAGAAATGATCTCTTTCCACCTACGGTCCCAACATAGGAACAGGTACTGTCCATTTCAGAAAGGCTATTGCAGCCACTGCCACGACTACCATATCTATACCAGGGTACCTCGTTGAAGCCTGAGACTTCTTATGATATATGGAGCCCGTGTTCACCTTGCTCCGCATCATATGAACAAATTATATCAACTGCTTGATCTCTTTGGGGAAACCAGGTCCATTGGCTCTGACACTGGGCGACCTGTCCCGTCCTGTCCAAGAAGCAAATCTCTTCACTACAAAATCTTTCACTTGGATTGCCCCAGAGATTGGAGGTCTTTGGAAGCTTAGCTGAAATCAGATTGCAAGTTCCTTCTTCAACCAACTATGCGCCTCTTGAAAGGTGAGCCGCAAAGTAGAGGCACTAGCTTGGATGGTCAATTGGCTTGGAGGAAAAAAGAATGCCAGAAATGCAAGAGGCTAGGTCAGACATGGTAACACTGCACATGTAGTCTACTTGTCAGGGTATGCTTCTCAAAAGGTTGTATTTTTTGTATCGAGAGATTCATGTGCTGCGACAGTCCAAAGGGACACCAATACACCACAAGCTGGACTACCCTTCTCAGTACTGCGTGGGTTCCATTGGGCACTCCATAAGTTGAGGTCATCCAGATGTTTCGTGAGTCAACAAGTGTGAATGCAGGACCGCAGATTCCAGGGCGGTCGTCCATCCAATGCAAGCATCAAAATTAAGTACATGAAGGCAAATAATGCTTGAGGTCTCTATCAAAGGTAGGCCATCCTTAGGTGCATTCACTTGAAAAATACGATCGCAAGCGGTGCCATTACAGAAGACAGAGAATCAGCTTGGCCAACATCACCTTGAGCCACCGTACCGACTTGCCCTCCACCTGCTCTGGAGCAAAGGTGGCTACAGCTCGGCCAGACTTCGCCCAAAGGACACGAAACATCTGCTCGCGTTCTGTGTTTCTTCTAAACCTAACCTTGAACCGGTGCTGCCTGGCGCAAGGGTTGAGCCCCGGCACAAACGAGGCAGCTTTGACTCCGAGTTTCAGAGACACACAGTTTGGTTCGGCCTGATCAAACACCAGCTCTGGAGATGACAAAGGAAACAACTGACAGCTGATCATATTTTCTCTGCTTCCGTCTGCTGACATTCTCCAATTCCCGCGCGCACTTCGCTCACCAAACGCGGTGTTTTCTCCGTGTCCCGTGGTCTTCGCCCGAGGTCCAACGTGTCTTCGTGACCCGGGGCGAATCGCAGTGAGGCGAAACCCGGGTGAATCGCAGTTTCGTGCACCGCCTGATTCCTTTTTTGTTGGTTCTCAAATTCTTTGGCAACACAAGGATTGATTGCAAAATGGTTGATTTGTACAAACTGTATAAAGATCATGTCTAAAACATATCTTACAATATTGGTTGTAGTTAGTTGTCACTTAAAGTGCGCTTAGAATTCCTTTCAATAGCAAATAAGTTACAGGACAGTCTTAAAAGTCCAATCAAACCCTCTTAAATGCTTGAAAAACTTACTAGGACATTGACCGTGATGTGAAATGTGGATTAAAAACCAGCTGATGTTTGTTTTCTTGTGTTTAACTTATTTTGTTTGAAAACTCCTGTTCCAAATGAAACACAACCTTTATGTGTAACGGGTGTCAATATTTTAAGTTCTTTCTAGAATCAACTAGTGCATTGATGGTAATTTTGTGTCCAAATAGAAGCTATACAAAAAAAACACACATGTTGATTTGTAATTGAATCCTGTCAAAACCTGTTTTATACATACTGGTTCCGCATAAATATACATGACGTTCTGCCACGTGGTCGCAAATTAAACAGCCCTTTGATAAAGCATTGAAAATCAACGAAGACTATTGGTGTTTAATTGTTGTCCACTTGAAACCACTTGCAGTGCCGTGCTCTAAATCAATTTGTATGTGGATGTTGAATGTGTGTCCAATGAACGACGTTTAAAACAAACATCGAAAAAAAAACACAACTTTTGACGTGTCATGTGTAGTAAACAACAATCAATTCATTGGTAGTCAATGATTCTCTTACTAATTGACATTATCAGGTTATGGTTAACATGAACTAGAGCTTTGATTTGAGTTGGTGTCCAATCGACATCACTTTGTAAAGGCTTCCCAAAAGGAATTCGTTAATCGATATCAAGGATATGGATTTGCAATGGGTGTCCAATCAAACTCCTTGCAAAGTCTTCTTAAAATCAATGAGCATATTACGTTGCAATGTGTTTTCCGTAAATAAGGCAGCAGCCTTAAGGACATGCAGTGGTTCTTTTTCTGGCGGATCTTCATACTGCGTAATATTGCGGATGCAGCAGTCATTGGACAGTGCTGCTGGGCTGCTAGGACTCACTAGCTCATACTAGCTCAATCCCTGAGGATGGAGTATATAAATCCTTTTTCTGCCCCTTCCCAAAAGAACTTGCGTTGAGCTGAAAACACTGCCCAACCCACTGGCCTGCTGGAAGTCCAAGTATATCCTGCGTAAACTGAAGAAAACTGAATCAAATCAGTGCAGAATAAACGATGTGCTGCTGGTGGCCCAAAAATAGCAAAATCTATGATTGGATAATGCGATCCTCATCGATCCTCAATTTGCCAACCAAGCTCACCAATTTCGAGGAAGCCGTTAAAGAAACACGGTCCGTTGTGCTGTTTTATTCCTCGATGAGAGCTTAGGCCCTGGCGGCTGCTTCAGGCCGCTCCATTCGAAGAGCGATGCCAAGCCTCCACTCAAAGCCTCAAAGGCATGCAGAAGAGGTCTCGGAAGAGGTCTCGGATATTGTAGTAACGAACGCCATAATTTCGGTACATGTCGGTCTTACCCTCCCTCCAAGAATCAGGAGAAGGGAGGAAAACGGCCCCTTAGTAGAGGCAAAACCGGGAAAACCGTCTTTCAAACGCACAGGTTCCACTTCAGGGTATGGTGATGGTACCTTTATGTTCGTGTGGAGAAAAACGGAAAGCCCCGATTCTTTTCGCCCCTTCATAACCGAGAAGTCGCCGGTGGCAGAATTTCTATGGCCTTTCACCTGCCCACCTTGTTTTCAAGCGGGGGTCTATCCAGCACCCATTGAAAACCCCATTGCCAAAGGGGGTCGGATGTTTTTCTATCAACCACCCAGTCTCTGGGTGGTTCTGGATGGAGAACTGTTGTTTCTCCTCTTGGAGAACTGTCTTATCATTTCTGGTTCCCACTCGTCAAGATGTGGAGAAAAGATATCAACAAATCAGACTTTCCGCGCTTTGTTTCTCATCTTCTCTAGCACTCACCTGCAAGGGACGGAAAAGGTCCAAATCCACCGCGGCTGGGATTGTGTGGGAGCTGTAGGGAGCTGTTAGGGTCATCATTCCGTTCATCATGCTCCCTTCCTCTTGCAGGGTATCATAATTAGATGTGTTCTTGAAACTTCAAGCACTGTCGTCCACCTGACCTGAACTCCAAGATCTACTGGGCAACCCTGCCGAGAGCTGCTCATCAATAGCAGGATACATGAAATTGGAACTCGCAAAAAACAGAATCACTCGATTGTTCGTGCTCTATTACAAAATGATTCGAGCACGGTTGATCTACTGGTTTATGATGGTTTATGTAATTGGTTTAGGGTTGTTTTGGATGTGTCTTGCTGTTCAGCTGGAGAGTCGCTTGTGACTTTCTGAGAGGAAACACTTGGAGATAGAAAGCTGAAGTCACTTTCTTCAGACAAGAAATCAAAGGCATCCCGGTTGAATGAATCCTATAGATTAGCTTGGTTTTGCTCACATGCTGGCGACTTCAACTTGATCAATTGAACAGCAAATCGAGCCGAAAGGACGGACATCGCAGATCGAGACCTCCGAAATGGATGACATCGAGACTCGTTTCGTGTCTTCGCTGGATCGGGCGAAGATGGCAAGAACGAACGAAGCATCTGGGCGTCGCTTGGCCTGCTCCATCTCTTTTTCCGTTGCAAAGATGCCGGAGGTCGGTCATGGGGATGAGCTTTGGTTCTGTGTTTATCTGCGTTCGGATGTTTGTGTATGTATATATCTGAATCTCTCCGGGATTGCAACGTGGATGCTCTTGCTGCTCAAGAAACGCTCATTCATACTTCCTCGTAGGGTGGAGGCCATCGCCATTAGGTTGGAGGCCATCGCTTGGTCCAGTGAATTCTGCTGAATCTGCTGCCAAACAAGGATGGATGTCTGCTGAATTGTCTGCTGACACAGTTGCCCTACACAGCTATGGCTTTGTAGCCTTCCAGGTCATACTCATTGGATGCAAAGGTACCCTTGAACCTTAGCTGATGATAGGCCAACGATTTTCAGAAAATGCTCGGTTGTGGCTGAGCTCCCCAACGCATCTTTCATTTGCTTGATCCTTTTCGGTAAGACCTACCACTGTCGGCGAATCGAACGTCTCAAGAAGAGGTCAAGTTGCAGCTGGATGAGGACAGGGGTTCTGCGAAGGAAAGCAGGCATGATTTAGCGCGCCTTGTCGACTTGGGGAAGCCCATCTTGCTTGGGGACGTGTCCCCAGTAGCGCTGATGAAAGTCGCCCCAAAAGTCCTCACATCCGGCGGAGCTGCGACAGAGGTCGGAACGGCCTGACCTTCATTGGACTTCTGGATTCGTTGAAGCAAAACAAGATAGACCCCGGCCAGCCCATCTCAAATACACATGGAAGTCTGGAAACTGGAAGAGGAGGCAGGTTCCCAATCTTCTATATATGTATCTAATTAATAGTAACTATATGCACTATGATTGCACTATGCTATTTAACATTCAGAAAACGACGTTATGCGGGTGTGGTTTTTACGCGTTTTTGTGATTTGTGGTTTTCTGTGTTTTTTTGAAAATGTTAGTTGTTTTGAAGAACGTGTCTAGCAAAAATGTCGACTTGTAATCTATCAAATTTCTCATCAATCTGATTCAAACATACTAGTTCTCATTGATTCCCACACAGAAGTCCATCAACCATCATCCATCAGCAAGTCCACGACATCCCATCATACAACATCAGGTCATCACCTCTATGAGGGAGATCTGGTCTCCAAGACCTCCAATCTCAATCAGTCCTCAATCTCCAGCAACTGGGGCCTGGGCCTGGGCTTCTCTAGGGGGGGGGGG